CGCTGATCACCCGCTGATTTTCCCCCGATCACAGCCCGACCTGTCAGCGAGCTCGTTAAATTGCAAATCGGGCTTAAAATCCTGTAGTGTGAAATAGGCATTAGTTTTCCTCTTGCTCTTGGTCTAACTGATTTGTTAAATCAAATGAAAAATGGTGTGTCTGATTGGTCCAGACGCTACAATTTACTATATTTATTTTATTGTCATATCACACATTATGGATCTGAATTTTATACAATGTATTTATATAATAAAAATACATGTGACATTTCTTATTATATAATTATCATCAAACAAACAATATAACAAACAAACAATATAACAAACAATAATTCTTATTCTCAGTGATTAAAAAATTTTTTTAAAAATGATTGCACAACCATCAATTAGGTAGCGATATGCACTAAGTATGTAAATGACCATTGAAAAATGAAGAAAGAAGCAGCATAGCATGCTTTTTCTTAGCGTCGGTTTCCATGGTGACTCGTCGATTCGTGGCTCTGTTGAGAATGTCTTGCGTGTTAATCAGGAACATACTCTGAGTTGACTGAACTTACTCCCGGATGCGTTTTTGGAACCAGCATACCTGAAGTAAGCCAGGTTTGGGTTAATCAACCGAGAGTTCAAGGTATATTCTATTCTATTCTGTTCTATTCCATTCTATTATTATAAAAAAAAAAAAACCTAGCTACATGCACTGTGCTAGACTAACTGAGACTTGTCATGGCACTTGTATACTGTTGTTGTTCTCTCGTTGGTCTGATTGCTTCTATTGTTCTCATTTGTAAGTCGCTTTGGATAAAAGCGTCTGCTAAATGATTAAATGTAATGTAAATGTAAATATGTGACAGTAAGTTAACCTTGCTTTCTGGAACACACCCCTGTATTATGTTTGCTTAGTTGTGGTTGTGTTTTGTTTTGTTTACTCTTGCGATCTCCTGTGCCTTCCTTGTGGATTATTATTTTTAAAAACTCTTGGTTTTGGATTTTGTTCTTTCGTCGTGCGCTTTATTCTACACAGCCCGTGACAATATGGGAGGGGAGAGGCTGAAAAAAGAGAAAGGCTTCTCCAAAAGTTGTTTCAAGGCAAAGTGACAACATTTTTCTGAAAGATTATGAACATATATATATATACAGGGGTGCACAGCGGATGCAAGCTTCAGACGAAGAAGTGAATGATGTGTAGCTCCCGGCGCTTATTTATACTATAGTCGCACCGGTAGTGACGTCATGGCTGTCGCCGGCCAACGAGTTGGTGTTTTTTCAATGTATGCTTCAGACACGGGTCACGACGAGGCGTTCCCCATAGCAACCCCTAGAGGACGCAGTGTCTCGTTCCCTACTCAGGGAACCATGGTTACATAAGTAACCTGAGACGTTCAGAGCGTGCGTTTGAGTACCGACATGGCTGACAGCTGTTAATGCACAATTACCATTTTAGATTGACAAACTGTACTGTATAAGATTTCTAGTCAAACTGAAAGCATAAATCTAGGCTACCCACTACCGTTTTCAAAGCACAATGCAAAACTGTGACATTTCATTCACTGATGCTCTACAATCGGCAGCGCTAAACCCGGAAGCGCATACACTTACTTGCCGGCAACCCGCCAAAATAAAAGCTTGCTCATTTTAAGTTTGAAAATGAAAAATGAAAATAATTCAAATTAAAAACAATAATTAAGGTTCAAATTAAAATAATAATAATAATAATAATATTAGCATTTTTAAGTCTACTATAAAATAATTGTATTTGTATTTAATACTCCCTTTTTATTTTAAAATAAAATAGTATTATCACACTGTACTATTTAGTTTATTATTTTATAAAAAAAAAAAAACTAAATAAAGTGCAATAATATTATCAATATTATTCATTTATTTTTTTTATTGTTATATTTGATGGGTCACACCATGTGCCGTGTGAGGACCAAACCAAATCTCCAGGTTCTCATATGATGTATGTATATGTATATGTATATGTATATATATATATATATATATATGTACATTAAAAAAAAAAGGAAATAATACTTAACTTGTTGAGTTTAACAGATGAATTAGAGTTCATATTTAGGGGTTAGTGGTTATACTTTGATCTCACAACGAGATTTTTTATGTTGTTATGTTGTTTTTTTGTGTCTTGTTGTGACTTCCAGAGCTCAGACAGTGTATTTCCTGTCAGTTATCTCTCCATAATGAGATCTCCATGATGACATGCGACATTAACCAGAGACAGAGCACAGGATGATGCTATAATGTCATTGAATCATCTCTTATGCTCGCAAACACACACACACACACACACACACACACACACGCACAGAGTCCTAATAGGTACAGCTCATGGGCAGATAACAGAGCTTGTTTGGATGGCGGAGATTGTGCTGTTTCTTTAAGTGAATACAGAGCATTCACAGGTGCTCTAATTCAGAGCTCAAGTCTCATGATGTCTCTCGCAATCTCTCACAATCATGCAAATCAGCTTCTTTGAATATTTGCATTTAGATCTAGGAGTATAATACACTAATTATTCCATCTATACTTTAATTTTACCTGCAGGGAAATCAGACTCAGCAGTAAAAAAAGCCTAAATGGAATCTTGTCTGGAAGTGCCTAAAAATTTGTCACCATATTTTTTACAGTGACTTTCGGGCAACCACAGCTCCTGTTTTTTTTTTATTATAATTTTAGAATTTTCTTAAACAGAATTAAATTACAAAGTATCTAGAGGTATAACTGCAGTGATTGTTATGAGTGTGATTGTTAATATGATGCACACAATTTCGTCTTATCTTACTCATATCATTCTCATGTAACTTGGCCTTCTCATTTTTCACACTGTGTTCACACGTCTGTGCACCTTGATGTCGACTGGAACACAGCTCACTCCATCTCTAAAAAGTGAGTTCACACTCACCAAGATAATTCCATATCAAGCCTGTCAGTATTAATATGTTACACATAACATAACACCCCATTACAAAAATAAGGTGAAGAGTCACAGAGCATGTTTTTGTTATTTATTTCCGCTGCAAGGGTTATGAATGACATGTCAGAGAGCTCTGATGCACAGAAAACAGGTGAGGAGAAGAAACTGATGGACTCTGCAGTAAATGTCATCTTCTATGACATTGCCAAGCTCACGATAATATTGTCAAATTATCAGTGCAGAGCTGATGGGAGGTCAGAGTAAACCTCCATGAAACATTAACATATCAGCTTTTACAAGAGTTTGTGTGCATTCAATGTTGAATAACGTCCTTTAACATTGAATGCACACGGCAACACTGAACATTGTTTGTGGGTGAAACTGAAAGGTTAAGGGATTGGGTTCTGTATTTCACTAGGACTGTTTCAATAAAAAGAGCATTGTCACCTGTGTGTAAGTGATAGTCTCGACTTTACCTCATCAGAGCTGTCTCACCTGTCATAAATACCATACACACACACACACACACACACACACACACACACACACACACTAAGGAAATCAATAGTTTAATCAATAATGAAGTGCTGAGATTAACAGCTTAACTAGGATCAGACGTCTGTTGTTAATGGTGGAGATGGCATGTCTAGAGGGTTGTGGAGTAACAAAATACATGAAGGGATTACTTTGAATTTTAATGTTATATACTGTTAATATTTCATGATAACACATTAATACAATCTTTTAGAGAGTTACAGAAAAATATACTTGGCTTGCCGTCCATGATAGAGGGCTCACCCTTACAAAAATGTTTATTCAAGTGTGCTATTGTATAGTAATTTCAAGCTAAGAATAGAATATACTTTCAGTCTGTGTTTTATGTACTCACCGGAGATATACTTAAGCTGTAGCATGAAGCCATCAGCATTATATTTAAGGCTTTGACGGCCTTCACTACAGTCACCGGAAATGCACCCTCCTACCTCAATATATACCTACAAGTGTATGTTCCAGCCATCCAACAATACATCCCTTTTCCAAACCGCTTGTTCTATGTAGGGTCACAGGAATGCTGGAGCCTATTCCAATGTCTCAGGCCATATG